ATTTTTCTTTATTCAAAGTTCCTCTTGTACTTTAAAAAAATAAAAATTTCCATTCTCTTTCAAATCGAACTAAAATGGTTTGAGAACTGTTGAAGTGGTAGATGACATGTATGTCAAGTAACCTATCACTTCATCAAAAATTGCTTGTGTGTGACTCTAAATTAACAATGCATCAGCACCCGTGTCAACAACATTTTTTCCCTCTTCCATTTACCTGAACAAACATCATCTTCTCTATCTTCTTTGTCCTCAACCTGTTCTAAATTGAGAATGTTTCGTATAGTATTATTATTAGCAGATCTAATAATGATAATAATAAATTAGGTTTGCAATGAAATTAAGTATGAAAATAGTTAATTTATTTATAATTTATCATTATTTTTATTTTATTATTATTATTTGTAACGGCCCCGGAAATTTAAATGAAATATATGTATTAAAAATCTCAAATCCGAAAGTGTAATAAAAATTTTGATTAACATCCTTTACACAATAACCAAAACGTACTCAAAACATGAAGGAACAAACTAACTAAAAGAGATACTCGAAATAAAAAATATAAATATAACTATGAAGTCTTTAGGCGTCCCCTTCGCCGTCTTCCTGTGGAACGGGCTCGGGAACAACGTTTTCCTGATCTGAAATGATTAAATAATGGATAAGCTACACCAGCCCAGTAAAGACATCACACTATCTCACCGCCACAGAAGTAAAGGTGGGTAGAAAATAAAAATGACAAATGGAGCATAATTTATAACGAACTCGTTTATTAACATAAAAACCTTTACTGTCCACTTACATCGGTGAGATCCATGAAAGCAACATATAAAAACAATAACCTTATAATATCATGAAATCATACACACTTTATAACATAACACATATCATGCATTTATATTTCAATCATCAGAAAACAGATTTCCTCTTTTACCAGCCTACTAGTATCATTGGAGATCTATAGAGGGTCCCCGCTACACGTGAACAATTGACATTTACAACCTGATTCCAGGGCCGTCCCCATACCCCGTCCGGTATGGGCGCCAAAACTATGAACCTCAATACTCCGTCCGGTATGAGGGTGAAACGGACCGTCCCCATACCCCGTCCGGTATGAGAGACCACATTCCCGGTAGGCTTCCCTACGGACCCGGTCCGTCCACCATCTCCCAGGATATCTAGTCAGGCCGTCCACATTTATCATTTATCA